TATTAACATTACGGTATTCTAAACTTAATTATCTAATTATTTAATCTATCCCGAAGTAACTAATTATCTAATTAATGGCCAAGCAATCAAATAATGAAACGAGAATGCAATATTAATCAAGAAAAACAAGAATTATTAAACAACTTGTCTTGAAATAAATAAATAAGCAAAATGATTCACTTTCTACCAATACAAACAAGGATCTAGCCTAACATGATTTTATATAGATTACAAAAAGAAAAATGAATAGATGTCACCCAAACATGAATGAATGTAAGATATCTTGATTTTCAATTTTTCAAGCTTGGAATTTTCAAGTTCTTAATGTAATTGGCCTTCAATTCCTTGTTAGGTTGATCTTCTCTCCAAAAAGATATAAATTCGCCTCTTGTTCTTGATGAATTTTATAATATGGATGTATATTAAGAGGCTAGAGAGATCTCTAATGTGTAGTCCTTGTACTTGTAGTCAGTAATAGGCTAGTCTGACGAAATTCACTCTATGCGTGCGCTACGACTTCCTGGCATGTGCCTCATTGATGAATTCTGCTCTTGAGTTTCGAAAAATGGTCGACATGCACGCGCCACCTAAAATTTTGAATTTTGACATTTTAGTTCCCTAACTTTCATCCTTCGTTCAATTGAGTTATTTTCTCATGCAATTTTTATCGTTTGAATTCTAATTTCTTCCAATTGATCTCATATAGTTTTTAGTCAACATTTTTTGGTCCGAATTAACTATTGAGAACTTACAATTTGGTCTCCAAACTTTGAATTTCCTTCATTTTTGCCCTTTTCTCTTCTTTTGTTCACTTCCATCAATTTGCATCAAATTTTACCTGACAAACAAAATCAACACACAATTAAGCTATAATTATTTCAAATTCATAATAATTTATCTTATTTAACAACTCAAATATGTGTACTAAATACACTTATGCACTCCATCTCATCTCCACCACCACACCACCACATTCCACACCATCACCACCCCTTCACTACGAATTTAGGGGTATATTCTCAGTCAACTAGGGGAGAAATCCCTCCTCTCCGAATTTTGCAAAAACGGAGGATGGGGAGATCCTTACCCTTTTATTTTGAATTTAGGGTTCCTCCTAAATTCATATAATCAGGTGGTGATGGTTGGGTGAATGATGTTTGGCATGGGTGGTGGCTGCTTTTATTGGGTTGGTTGAAAGGAGATAAATTTTTTGTTTTTGCTTTGTATTTTGATTAATCATTTTTTTAAATAATGATAAACTTGTCTTTTTATAAAATATTAATAAGAGTGACTTATGTTCTTGTGAAACCCAAAAGCGTAAGGAATCGTTGACAAGTAATAATAAAGTGAGTTGTGAGTTATCATCCCACGAGAAATAATGTTTTAATCTAGTTCACTAGTTACTATTAAATTCAATGTTCGTGACACACAAGATGCGATTCTGTTGTTATTTAAATTAATTCTAAACTAAAGAAGCAATAAAATATGTTTTGTCAAATATGTGAATGATTGCATTGGATTTTGAATTCTCTTATTATCATTTATTTTAATTCTTGATTCGTAATATAGTTATATGCGCCTCTACATCTAGCATTGGGTAGACCTCATACAATAACTACCCTAGCTCAATTTCATGCTTTCATGACAATCGATAACACTGGTATATTTAATTCTCTTTTACAAGACAAATTAAGTCTATTTTAATTAGGATCTGATCCTATACATAGTTTGAATTCATATGACCAAAATACATTAAATTACAGGTCATCTACATGATTACATATGTGGTAAAGATTATTCCTAATTATATCTACATATGTTAATTTTTTCGCATTCTAAACTTATTGTGAATCTTTCAATACTACAATAAGCAACTAATTATTTAATTGATGGCCAATCAATTAAACAATCCAATGGGTATGCAAAATCATTCAAGAAATAACTAAACTAATAGTCTTAAATCAAAACAAATATGCAATAGGGTTCAGCATTCATCAAATACAATAGAAAAACTAACCTAGCATTCTAAAGATTAAATTATACAAGAAATATTGGAAAAATATCGCCCAGAAAGAAGAAATAATGAAGAAAGTGGCTAAATCCAATTTCTAGCCTTAAATCTTGAAAATGGATAAATATTCTTCAATAAACTTGCTCAATCCGTCCTGATCTTGATGCTTAGCCTCGATCTTTGCCTCCAAAATACGTAGAATATATAACTTTTAGGTCAAAAAGGAAGTTCCTTTATGTTTTGGGCGTGTTTAGGTATATATATAAGATGTCAAGATATTGTTTCTGTGTATAGTTTTATCAGAATAAGAAAACTGACCCGTCATAGAAAATTTGGCCCGTGTCGTGTGCCATATAATTCATTGTGTGTGCACCAGTCAATAATTTTTCTCTCGATAAATGCATATCAAGGTCTTGTGTGTGGGGGAAAATGCCAGTGCATTTTGCGATGTTGTCCCTAGACAGCTTTTGGTAATTTGTTTGTAATTTTCTTTTTTGAACTTCGATTGAGTTCATTCAAAGTGAATTAAAAAGATAATTCAAAGAACTACAGTTCTTTAAGATGTGAAAATTTTCCAATTCAAACGTTTCCTATCTGAAAAATGGGTCTTAAATTGAGGCTAAAAATCCAGAGCATAACTTCTTCGACTGGAAATTGATTTGTGAAAATGCTTTAACTCTATTTAATTCATTTTCACCTTCAATTGCATCCAAATGATGTCATATGATCTTCAATCATTGTTTTGTGGTTTGAATCAACTATTGAATATTTACATTTTGATCCCTAAACTTTGAAATTCCTTCGTCTACATACATTTTTCATTTCTTTTTTCCAAATCCACAAGTTTGCATTGACTCAACCTAACAAACATAATTAACGCAAAATTAGGCTATAACTCATTCAAATCACTAATAAATACTCTAATCTAATGGCCTAGATAAGTGTATAAAATACACTTATCAAATACCCCCAAATTTGAATATTTGTTTGTTCTCAAACAAAATTATAATCTAACTTAAACAAAAATTTTGAACACGTATGGTTAGATAATTTGCCTTAGGTCTTAGGACTGGCATATATGTAATAAGACTATGAACTGTTACAAAATCAAAATGCTAAAATTAATTCCTACATAACCAAAGCAAAACTGACGTGTGCGTGTGAAAATTCATGTCAATCATCATAAATTTATAAAGTGATTCGAATCCTAACCCTTAATAGTCAAATTTATCATTTCTCCTCTCATGAGATTCACACCCCCAAACTTATGTATTTAACTCTCTTCCAATGTGTGATCTAAAGTTGAATTTATATACTATTCCTCACACTCTCTAACTTGGTTAGATCTTACTAATTGCAGTTCAAGATATCAACAAATAAGGATTCTCATTATTTTTTATTGCTTTGACCTTTAAGAATTAACTAGGCTAGTAATCCCTTGTTAAAAGTTTTATTTCTCTAACAAGTGTTTGGGATTTAATCAAGGTATGTAATAAATTTTTTTTCCTTTTTATATATATTTTTTTCTTTTTCACATCTTATGTGTGGACTTTCTTTATTAAGCTTTCTAAATGATCCATGTAGCGAGCTTTTAGCCGATGACTCTCAAGTCATATGACTTTAAGACACCAAATTTTTAGATAGCTTTATAAGCTTAATTACTCGAATCATAAAGGCTACAAAGTGACGCTTCACAATAAGACAAATTTTTTTTTTCATTTTTCTACGCAATAATTAGTGCAATGCCCCTTATTAAATACATATTCTCAAAAATTAATCTCTAATTTAAGATTTTCACCTAATTTTCATCTTATTGGCCTTAGACAATCTACACAAAATTTAACACACATGAAATTCACATTTATCTCAATGTTTTCCTACAACAGTTCAATCACTCCCAAACTATTTTAAATTTGGTTTAATAATGTATAATTTAGTGGTTGTTTGGATTTAATAAATGAGGTTCACTATATTTTTCTTTTTCAACCTATTCAAATTTTGAATCAAATTATTCCTTCATGATGCAAAACATAATTTGTGCTCCAAAAATATCAAGTTTTACATGAATGCTTATAAATCAACCCTAGCATGTAACTTTTTCACAACTCGTAGCCTGACATATGGTTCCAATTATATACATCATAGTAGGCAAATTTACCTAACTCACACAAGCACACACAAAAATAAGCTGAGAATAATTTTTTTTTTTTAATTTTCAATTTTTTTACACTCGAATTTGCATGCATACCAGTACAAACTCAATGTTTTTTCACCCCCAAACTTATAATAGACATTACCCTCAATGTCTTGAATTTTAAGTCCACATATAAGGGATGGGGAAGAAAAAGAAAAGAATAGACCCCTGATATGTGCATAAAATTCAATGGCTAGTTTGTCTTATTGCTCTCGTTGTCTCCTTTGTCAATTAAGTGTTCCAGGATGTCATGTTCCTGGACAATGCAATTAAATAGTATATTAAAAATCAAGCACTTGGAACACGTGTTACTCAGCTCAAACATCTAATAAACCAACTAAGTCTCAAGGACCTAAGGGAAAATGAGAAATATATGATGAGTTCCTAATGATTAATTAAAAACCACTCTAAATTATCCCAAGTCTAGAAAGCATTATAAATAAAAGGGATAGAAATATTGGGTTGCCTCTTAGCAAGTGCTTGTTTAAAATCCTGACCTTGACTCCTATTAATTTTAGGGTTTTTATGGTAGCTTAAAAAGAGAATTTTCAACCCTATGCTTTATGCACTTCCTTCTTTTATCTTTCATCCTTCACATAATCAAGTTTTTATTGTTGTCCCTACCATCAATTTCTCCTTCATTTGGCATGTCTTTGTAACTTTCCCAATGATCCATTTGTTGGCAATCCTCAAAGTATGAGGGTTGCTTTTGTAACCATATGCTTGTTGGCAATCCTCAAAATCCAGCAAGGCTCGACTTCTAGACAAAAATGGTCGTCTTAGGATTATTGGCATCTAATATGCCTCTTCTATGTCCAAGATGATGAAGTCGGCTGGAAAAATGAACTCCCCCACCTTGATAAGCATGTCTTCGACTATTCTGTAGGGGTGTTTCAGTGAACGATCCGCCAGTTGAAGGATTATAGACACTGCCTTAGGATCTCCTAATCTCAGTTTCCTGTAAATAGGCAAGGGAATTAAATTAATATTTGCCCTTGGATCAATTAAACAATTTATGTCGTGTAAATTTCCTATGGAGCAAGATAGAGTAAAACTCCCTGGATCTTTAAGATTGGGAGGAATCCTGTTCTGAATGATCACACTGCACTCCTCAGATAAAGTTATTGTTTCATACTCGGGTAGTTTCCTCTTCTTAGTCAACATCTCTTTCAGAAATTTGGAATAGTTTGAAATTTGAAGGATTGCATCAATAAAAGGGATGTTGACATGCAGCTTTTCAAGAATTTCTAGGAACTTTGTGAACTGCTTCTCCAACTTGCTATTTTTCAGCCTTTGAGGAAATTGGATTGGGTGTACAAGTGCTTTGATAAGAGCTTTTACCTCCACTTGTAGACTGTCCAAATAAATTTGCTGATCCTTTTATATTGATTCTTCGAAATACTCCACTTGTTCTTTACCCTTCGTAGTTACCTAAGTACACTCAGTTTCGTTCCTTCTTATAGTAATATTCGGTAGCTAAACCCCACTTTTAATAGTGATGACTTGAACTTGCTGCATTGTTTGCTGCCTTCGCAGTCTCTAAGAGAATGGAATGGGTGGCACATAAGCCTTGACCGCGGCAACAGGAGTGAATGATGGTGGCTCTTTGATCTCAGAGTTCACCGCCTTAATTGCTAGTACCTGCTTTTGTGGATTTTTCTCTATGTCGCTAGGCAAGTCACTCTGTGGTCTATTGTCTAATCAGCTGCTATATGTCCCACTTGATTTTCTAAGTTATGTAGAGAGGCTTGCTGATTCTATATCACTGTCTTAGTCTTAGTAATGTACTTTATAAGTAGATCTTCCAAAGATTGCCTCTTTTTTTCTTGTTGCTGAATCGCTGGTGGATTAGCCCTTATCTGATTTACCTGATCAGAATTATCTACCCACGCATAGTTAGGATGCTTGTTCAAACTGAGATAGCAGTTGTATGGATAAGGTCCATTTAGCCTTTGATAGTTTTGGGCATAATTGACCTCTGCTGGTAGTTCATATGAGTAGAGGCTAAAAAGCAGCTTATAGTGATGTCATGTGTCCCATAACCTGCACAAACTAGAGTTGGATGATGTACCATGTGTACAGATTGAATTAAAGTGTTAAGTTTTTTCATTATTTCTTCTATTTGTGTTGCTAAAGCTGTCACTGAGTCTTTATTATGCATTCTAGCTACCTACCTCGGAACCTCCCTATCTATTGGCCAGTTGGCCTGATTCTCTGCAATCCTTTCAAATAGATCATATGCTTCATCTACCTCATTGGTCAAAATCGATCCGCCCACTGAATCATCTGCAATATTAAGGAATTCAGAGCGCAATTCATTGTAGAAGAGATATATTTGCACTAGTTTAGGAATGTCAAGATTTGGACACTTCCTAAATGCGCTTTTGAACCTGTCCCATGTTTTTGGATATGTCTCAAAGTCACTCTACTTGAAAAGATATACTTTGTTTCTGATTTGATGGACTCGAGATGGTAGGAAGAATTTCATGATAAATTTTTGTACCATGTCATTCCATGATACAATGCTCCCAAGAGGTTGTGACGTCATCCATTTTTTCGCACTCTCCTTCAAAGTGTAAGAAAATAGATGCATTCAAAATGCATCCCGTGACATCCCCTCATGGCTAATTACGTCACATAACATAGTAAAAGCTTGAATGTGTTTGTGTGGATTTTCCATAGCTTTCTCGCTGAACATCAATCTTGATGATTTTGAAAGTGTTTATGACATCTGGTGTGGAAGTTAGCTTGTCCAAAGGGCGGATAGATAATCGGAGTTTGAATCGGTGCTAGCAAAAGATTCACATAATTCCCAACCAATAGAAGCTGAGCCGGAGGTAGTTGCTGAATCAAAAGTGCTTTATTCTGTCATGCAGCCTGAATCTGATTCTGATTCTCAACCATTACCCTTACTCTTCTATGTTCTCTTCGGAGTTACTTGAAGGTCCTTTCGATCTCAAGATTTGTTGGGAGAATCTCGATTTCGTCAAGATCTTGCATAAAATGGTGGAAACCTGTGAAAATTAAAAATAAGATAAGATCAGATATCTCAATTAAAGTCTAAAAAAAACAAAAAGAAAAAAAACCAAATTTAGTATTAACTACTAAATAAAATTAAATCCGTTATTCCCTGACAACGGCTCCAAAAACTTGTCCCCGTGAAATCTACAAGCTTACGGGATCGCTGACAAATAAGAATGAAGTGAGTTATAAGTTGTCGTCCCACGATGAATAATGTTTTATGGGACAATGAATAATGTTTTATTATAGTTCACTAGTTATTACTAAATTCGATGTTTGTGACACACAAAATGTGATTCTGTTGTTATTTAACTAAGGAAACAATAAAAAATGTTTTGTCAAATATGTGAATGATTATATTGGATTTTAAATACCCCTATTCTCATTTATTTTAATTCTTCATTCGTAATATAGCTAATTTCATGCCTTCATGACAATCGATAACATTGGTGTATTTAATTCTCTTCTCCAAGACAAATTAAGTCTATTTTAATCATGACCTAATCATATTCCTAGTCCGAATTCATATGACCAAACTGCATTAAATTACAGTTTATCTATGTGATGGCATATGTGATAAAGATTATTTCTAATTTTATCTACATATATTAATTTTGCTGCGTTCTAAACTTATTGTGGGTTTCCCAACATTAGAACAAGCAACTAATTATTCAATTGGTGGCCAATCAATTAAATAATACAATGGGTATGCAAAATCAATCAAGAAATCAAGAAATAACTAAATTAATAGTCTTAAATCAAAACAAATATGCAATAAGGTTCATCATTCATCCAATACAATAGAAAAATTAGCCTAGCATTCTAATGATTAAATTATACAAGAAATATATTTCACCAGAAAGAAGAAATAATGAAGAAAGTGGCAAAATTCAATTTCTTGACTTGAATCTTGAAAATTGATGAATATTTTTCAATAAACTTGCACAATCCGTCTTGATCTTGAAGCTTAGCCTCGTTCTTCGCCTCCAAAATACATAGAATATATGATTTTTAGGTCAAAAGGGAGGTTCCCTTACGTTTTGAGCATGTTTAAGTATGTAGAGAATGTCAATATATTGTTTCCATGTAGAATTTTATTAAAATAAGGAAACTGGCCCGTCACAGAAAATTTGGCCCATGCTCATGCACTATATAATTCATTATGCGCTCACCAGTTAATAATTTTGCTCTCAGTAAATGCATATCAAGGTCTCGCGAGAGCGGGAAAAAATGCTTGTTAGCGCGTGCCGTTCCCCGATGTTGTCCCTAGACAGCTTTTAATAGTTTAGTCATAACTTTCTTTTCTGAACTCTGATTGAGGTGATTCAAAATGCATTGGAAAGTTAACTCAAAGAGTTATAATTTTTTCAAATATACAAATTTTCCAATTCAAATGTTTTCTATACGAAAAATAGATCTCAAATTAAGGCTAAAAATCTAAAGCATAACTTCTTTGGTTAGAAATTGATTTGTGAAAATGCTTCAATTCTATTTAATTCCTTTGACCTTCAATTGCATCAAAATGATGTCATATGATCTTCAGTCATTGTTTTGTGGTCCGAATTAACTATTGGATGTTTACACTTTGATCCCCAAACTTTGAAATTCCTTCATTTTCGTACATTTTTCATTCCTTTCTTCCAAATCCACAAATTTACATTGACTTCAACCTATCAAACATAATCAACAAAAATTGGGCTATAACTCATTCAAATTACTAACAAATACTTTAATCTAATGGCCTAGATATGTGTATAACACTTATCAACTTACTTTTAATCTCTTATAGGCTGGATACAAATATGGACAAGAAATTGGTTAGGAAGAGAATTGCCACTTTCGTCAAAGTTGGTACTATGTTCCAAATCAACCTCTAGCCCTTGTTTGAGCCCCATTTTTTTCTATCAAAATACATTCTTTAATAATGATTTAACACTATTTCAACTACATATTTTTCAATAAAATATTATTACGCACAATTTCAAAACTTTTCCTTATTTTTAACCACACATTTTTCATCATAACACTATTTTAAAATGTATTTTTTGAGGAAAATGAACATCAAACAACCCCTTAATAAGAAGTGTACTCCCCACTCCACTTCATAGTCTTGTTGGACGGAATTCATCCAAAAAGACCAATTGTTCCAAAAATCCAAAATTTGGAACCATTTGCACCAAGATTAAAAGGCTTGTACCCAAAATGCAAGATATGCAAAGGTTTGAAACCATTTGTGCAATTTCCCTTGATATTTCGCTCAAGGTCAGTGAGCGAGGACGAATTTTACAGTTGACATTATTCTGCGACCGTGTGAGTGGGAGTATAAACACTAAAGCTTCTTTATGCCAATATGCACATCACCATCTCACTAGGAACACCACTGCAAGAATCTCCCTTTTTAATCATCAAGGCTTTCTACTGGTTACTACAGAACCCAATGTTCCCAGCAAATAATCCAATTATATATTTCTTCAATTCATCCTTCTCCTTTGAACCAACCAAAATAACTACCATTTTTCTCTTCCTCTCCCTATCCTTCACCTTCATAATTGAGTGATATTCTCAAGTAGTCTAAAATGACTCTTGAATCATCTAGGATGGCGTTTCAACGTGTTTTTTTCGTTCTTTCGGTTCTTTTAGTCGTATTATCTGCGTTCAGCTCGTGCCGGGCAACCACAACTAGCCAATCTGAATTCTTGACTCTTATGAAGAAGTCACTCTCAGGGTACTCTTTGATCATTTGGGATGTCAACAAAGGATTTTCCTATTGCAATTACACTGGAATTGGCTGTGATGATCAAGGAAACATTGTTCAGATTGACATCTCTGGATGGTCTCTTTCTGGCAACTTTCCTGAGCAAGTATGCTCTTATTTGCCTAAACTACGCGTTCTTCGCCTAGGCCACAATAACTTCCATGGCGGATTCCCCCGCGGCATCACCAACTGTACTCTCATGGAAGAACTGAACATGACACGTGTATATTTCACTGGAAAGTTACCAGATTTGTCCCCTTTGAAATCCTTGAGGGTACTTGATCTTTCATATAATCACTTCACAGGTGAGTTCCCTTTGTCAGTCACCAATCTTACTGATCTTGAGGTCTTGAATTTCAATGAAAATGGCGGTTTAGATTTATGGTAT